CCGAGTATCCTCCTTTTATCCTGATGAAACGCGCCCTGTTTCTTGGACACACTCGAGTCCAGCTCACATCTGTGCTTCCCTGCACCTGTCTGGGCCTTTCTAACATGTTATTCCTGTGGCATCGATATCTGTGCATGTCTTCTTCCATTAATGCATTGTCATCTGGAGGCAGCCGATCTGTTTCCTTTGTCCCCACAGTCCAGGCCTAGGAAGTCCCCGACACAGTCAGTGCTTGATAAATGTGCCCTGAATTAAACTCATCTCTAAAAGCCAGTTTCTGCAATACACTTTTAAATAAATAGGTATGTCCAGTTTTCTATGTGTATGTTCATCTTTGATAAAAAGTCAAAGTAAGTGCAAACAGTTATCATAATAATATTAATTTGCCAAGAAAGAACTGTGTATAAATTGCTTTAGAAAACCCCAACAGGGTATGCACCATCCATCCAGTATGGGAGCCAACAAGCGGTTCAGGAGAGTTGGCAGATGCCCAGCTGCCTTGGGATTCCTGCTGAGAGCTGCTGAGAGCTGCTGTAGTGTGATGGCAGGGAGTTAGGGACATCGATGCTGGAACGGCCAAGGCCCTGCTGTCTGAGCTATTACTGTTGCACCTGAGTGTCTAAAATCACATTTTCAAAGCCATTTACTGACGGATTTTCTCAAAGCAGAGAAGTCAAGTTGTCCTCCTGGAGACGCCTGTTTTCTGCTTTCACTGACCTGGTCCCTCGAGGGCGAAGTTGTTCACAGGAGGCCTTTCTCCTAGGGCTCTGCCTGCAGTGTCAGTTGCTGCCGCCCGATGGGCTTGGTTTTAGTCTTCATGGTGGCTTCCAGGCAGACCTGGGCTATGATCAGGTTAACCAGCCGGTTGGGAGCTCTGCCACTCAGCTGCCCTCCTCTTAGTTTGCAAAGTAATAAAAGTGGAGCCCTGTGTCGGTAGCTAAGCACGGAAATTTAACGATAGACTCAGTGGACTAGACAGAAACGGAAAGCCGGCCCTCCTACGGGTGGCTGCCTCCCCACCAGCCTCAGTGTCCCAGCCTTCAGCCCCTCCCCATGTGGACTGCACGTGGAGCTCGCTCACTCTGAGGGCAGTGTCCCCAGGGTGTTTCCTTGGCCCTGGGGTCTCCAGAGCCTGGTGTGAAGTCACCAGGTGTGATCTCTAGAAGGGGTCTCCAGCCCCAGTGCTGTCAGCTCCCTGAGCAGAAGTGGGACCTGACGACCGACGCAAAGTCAGAATTAGTGTAACCAGCCAGCTTCTTTCTGCTCAGAGGACTTCAGGGAGCAGCAGTTCACCCGTTTCCCCAGATAGCAGGGAATTCCCTCACATTTGCAGTGGGGAAATTTTACTAAATGGGGTCGTCTTTAGCCCACTCAAGTATATAAAACACTGGTCTCTAACCTTGCGGTGCCCTCACACTGAGGAGATTCAGTTGTTTCATTGTGGTGAAGCACATCTAACGTGCGATTACCATCTCGACCAGCTGCGCAGCGCTGAGTTCCTCCACACTGTGGTGCAGCCGTCCCCGCCGCCGTCTCCAGAACTTCCTCATCTTCCCAAACCGAAGCTCTGTCCCCGTTGAACTGTAACACCCCTGCCCTGTCCCCGTTGAACTGTAACACCCCTGCCCCAGGTCCTGGTAATCACTGTTTTACTTTCTGTCTGTTCAAATTGGACTCCTCTAGGCACCTCACTTAAGAGGAGTCATGTAATGATTGTCCTTTGAGACTGGCTGCTTTCACATAGCGTGATGTCCTCAGAGCTCATCCATGGTGTAGTTCATCCATGGTGTCACCGTTTCCGTCTTCTTTAAGGCCGAATATATTCCACGCTTTGTTAACCCATCTATCTGGTGATGACAGCTGGTCTGTTTCCATCTTTTTTCTTATTTAGACCTTTCTCTTTTGGGCACAGACCCAACCATTCTATTCTCTCCCACAAAGCCAGGGCGGAGTGGGGCCCACCTGAGCTCTGACATGTGGGCTCATAAATGCTTAGAGCTAGGCTGGTAGGTGGAGTTCATCCAGAGCTCAGGGCTGGCAAGGGGCCCACAGCCAGAGGACAAATCTAGGGCATTTTTAAACACATCACTAATATGCTTGGCCATGACTAAGTGGACAGGATCCAAGAGAGACCAGAGGATGAAGTCGGGGTGGAGGTCACCCCGAGGAGCTGAGGCCAGAGCAGGGTGGAGGGGAGGAGGGAGTGGTGGGGAAGGGCAGTCCCTCCCCAGGTGCTATAAAGATACGAGAAAGTTCAGCAGAGAGAAGGGCTGGGGGAGCTCGCATCCAGGCAGACAGCCACATGTCCTTTCCGGCCACTTCCATGTCCCCACCGCCCGCCAGCCTAACTACCTTCAGAAATCCCCACTCAGNAACTGGTGACCGAGGAGCTGAGGCCAGAGCAGGGTGGAGGGGAGGAGGGAGTGGTGGGGAAGGGCAGTCCCTCCCCAGGTGCTATAAAGATACGAGAAAGTTCAGCAGAGAGAAGGGCTGGGGGAGCTCGCATCCAGGCAGACAGCCACATGTCCTTTCCGGCCACTTCCATGTCCCCACCGCCCGCCAGCCTAACTACCTTCAGAAATCCCCACTCAGCTCCTCACAGCCTTTGTCTCCACATGGTCCCAGAGCCCCTGACCTTCCCACAACTTTTGACACTGTCACCTGTTGCTGTCTGCTTTCCTGTCTGTGTCCTTACCTGCCACCAGATGTGGGTGTTTGGGCGTCCTCGAGGCTGTGGCCTCACGTAGGGCCCTCCATCACATGTCCCTTCTTCCACAGTCACATCACCATCTCCGTCTCCTGCCCTGGCCTCCCCACACCGGCACCATGCTCTCACCTCCACGAGACGTGTCATCTTCTCCATCCCTCTCGAGAACCTGTCCCTCACCTCCCTCCCCACCTCCCAGTGGCTCCAGCTTTGTTCCTTCCTCTCCCAGGACAGCGGTTTGGGGTGTCGCCCACCCTTGCCTGTGGGTGAGTGCTGCTCTCCCCACCGGCCTCCACGCCGTCCCGGACCTCCCAGGAATCCCCACACGCAGTGGGGCGCCTCTGCTCCCTGGTCCCCAGCTCGGAGGGCACCCTGCTCCGGGTGGCGCCCTGATGACGGGCACCTGGTGGCTCTGATGTGCAGCCCAGCTCCTTGGTCGGGCTCCCAGGTCTCAGTCCAGCCTCAGCCACCTCTGCCATCTTGTCTCCCTCTGGACCACGCTCGCTGCCTTTGCTCACGACAGGATGCCTGACGGCCCGTGCTCCCTTTTTCCTTTGTCAGAAGAAACCTCCTCTCTGAGTAGCTGTACTCCATCGGAGCTCACCGCCCTCTGCCTGTACTTTAGTGATTCGGCGCATCTCTGTCCCCAGCGTGGCTGAGGGCAGGCCCCGAAGTCAGGGTTCAGGCGGTTTTCCTTGTCAATAGGTCCTGACGTGGGAACAAGCTGCTCAGTAAACAAGTGTTGAATGAAGGGTGTGGTTTCAGTAAGACCCTAAAAACCACAAAAATAAGTCTTTTCTGATTGCACTCTTAGAAAACTAACCTAAACAGCAGTGCCGTAATCAGAACAAAGCACGTGGATGTGGCCCTAAGTGCCCTCTTCACCAAGTAATTCGGGGTCGTGTCCCTTGTCTGCATCATGGGACAATTCTGGTTTTGTTAAAAATTTTCTCCAGATTGTGCAAAATGAAGCCAGGCATGCCATGGACGTAGTCTTAAAGGGAGGGCCCTGTTTTAGTGGGCCTCAGCCGGACCATAGACCCTTCCCGTGGGACACTGGTGTCTTCAGGCCGCCACAAAGGTCCTGTGTCTGCGCCCCCGGGTCCAGCGCAGGGACAGAGCGTGACTGTGGCGACAGCGCCCCCTGCCGCCCCTGCTGGTTCTGCACCCTGTTCCGCCGGAGGAGTGAGGCCCAGCCTCGGAAAAGGGGAGTTCGCTGTCTGTCCAGGGAAGAGGGGCAGAGGCTCAGGCAGAAGTGGGAAGTATTTAGTGAGGGGAAAATCCAGCTGGTGAGACGTAGGAATGTGACAAAAGTCAAACTCATAATTAGACAAGTGTGCGCACACCGCGGAGACACGGGAATTCAGGAGCTTGGAGCGAGGAGAAAGGCCTCGGGGAAGACTGAGAGAGAGACCCTTTAAAATGTTTGACACCAGGAGTTAGCACGTCTTTAAGGGTGACACTCACTGAGCACTTAGAGACAGTCTCTCGTCTGTCACCCACGCGATGCACAGGCTGGGATGGAGGCGATGGGGAGTGTTTTGCCCGAGCTGAGGAGGCTCTGACCCAGCCCTGGGGCTCCCTACTGTGGGCGGGACGTCCCAGCAGCTGCCGAGAGGGGTGCGAGTTGTACAGAGATGGAGTTACCTAAACAAACATAGCCTGGGCTGCTCTGCTGACCTCACCGTAACACCCCCCAAGATCAGAGCACCTCCCCCCAGGGGCATGTCCTGTAGCGTGGCCTTGATGGTGAAAATAGAGCCCAGTGACATGGGCAGAGACACTACCATCTCTTGAGATTTGGATGCCGCTTTTTTCTAAAACAATTTGTCTTTGTTGCTTTGTAATGTATATTTTAAAAGTATGAGACATAAAGGAAAGAATTATATAACTTGGATTGACACACAAGCCCACCAAGAAGTAGATGAGAAACTACATAGGGAAAGTAATCCATAAAGTGAAACAAAAATAAAACGCCAGCTCACTGTTGCCCGCATTGATACTTAAAACAACGTAGGGACAGTAATTCATTTAACAAACGCTGTTGAGTGTCCTCCGTGGGCTTGGCGGTTCTGGGCACCGAGGACCCAGCCTGGGGAGCAAGTAGACAAAAGCCCTCCAGGAGCTTACATGGTGGAGGGAGGCAGAGTTCACGGCCCAGCAAAATGCCGTTCTTAGGACCCATCACCCCCGCCCCCAGGTTTTGGTGGAAGTTGAACTAAATTGGAAAATTGATAATCTCTCCATTCGTACCTGGGTCTGATTTTAATGGGAGTTGGTTTTTGGTTTCCAGGGAGAAGAACACGGCTTTGCGGACAGTACTGGAGACCCCCTTGCAGGTAAGTGATTGATGCTAATGACAGCTGGTGGCAGAGGGAGGACGTTAAAGATAATTGGAGACCATGTTTATCACTAACTTTAAAAATCTCCATTATAGAGAAGAGACGCTTTCCAACCACATGCCTTTGAAGAGTATTTTCCCTGAGTTCACCCTGCATTGCTGTGAGGGGCTCAGGGTTCTCAGCTGGACAGGTTTAGGGTGGGCAATGGTCAGAACTGGGCAGCCCGCCCCCATCCCAGGGTCTGGGAGCCACGGCGTTGGCAGAGAACTTAGCAGGCAACTTGGGCAGGTGGGAGACAGCAGTGGGATGCGGGCAGGGCCAGCACAGCCACCCTCCACTCCCTCTGTGCCTGGAGCACTGAAGGAACCCAAGCAGCCCCCCTCACAGCCCACGTGCCGTTCCGCACCCCCTCCTGCTGGGTTGTGGCCAGTGTCTGCTCTGCAGGGTTTGTTGGATGAACTGGCCAGAACAGATCTAGGTATATTTTGTCTTTGAATGAGAGTAGCAACTTAAGTAAGATTTATTTTATTGTTTTATACGCAAACACTAATTTAGCATCTTCTTTGCACTTTACACACGTGCCTGGACAAGAGCACTCCTGCTGGTCTGTGTGCAGGCCCGGTCATTTCCTCACCAGGTGCGTGTGCAGAACAGCCCTGGGCACGTGGCCGGAGCTGGTCACCAGGCCTGGTGGGATTCCAGCCCCGGCTGCCTACAACCCACTCGCCTCCACCACACCAGCCTGCCTCCCCTGGCCAGTGAGTGACCCGTGAAGCACACACTGAATGCTTGAGTGTGCTCAGAGGTGCAGCTGGAACAAGCGCAGTCCCGCTGCCCCCAAAGGCAGTCTTCCCCAGAAGTTTGCTGCTGCCCCTGGGTCAGGCCCTTGGCCTTAGCTCAGCCTTGTCATTTGAACACCATGGTATCTGTGATCCAGTTTATAGCTGATTAAGATAAGCAGATGGGACGATGCAGGGCACTAGACAGGAGGACGGCGTAGGCAGAAGGAACGGGGTGACCGTGGTAATCAAGGCAAGAAAAAGAAAGCAGTTCAGAAGCACTGCGCTAGGAAGCAAAGGCCCCTGTGGGACCACTGGGCGGAGAAGCAAACGCCGGGCAGAGCACTGGAGGGGAGTCTCCACCACTGCTCCCGGAGTCCACCGCCAGTTGGTCCACACACCCTGGTAGAGGAGACGTCAACATTTTACAGTGTTTTCATGCAAAGCTCAGAACGAAAACATTCGGACATTAAAGGAGTAAGGCTCAGTTATTTAAAACATTCCCCAAATTGGAGAATATGAAACCTCTGCTCTGGTGGGGATCACATGGGCCAGGACACTTTCAGCAGCTGCCTGTTTTTCAGGGTCAATTTTCTGACAACCTTGTGTAATTGGCACTTGCCTAATCAAAACCTAATTTCCCCACAGAAATTAATGTAAAATAAGATTTTCATTTGTTTCAAATTAGGCCCATAAAGTGACATTGTGTTAATATGTTTGTGTCATATAATTTCACAATTCAAATTCACATAAAGTTCTATGCCGAATTTTAACCTGGGTTCTTTCTTACAAAAGTTTCTTTCTTTCTTTTTTATGTTCCTTCCACATTCCAGTTTTGTTTGATGATAAATTGAGACTCAGCTCAATTTAGCAGCCTAGAGCCATCCAGTTTGTCAGACTACCCAGTGCTATTGCCAATGTAGTATCTCCTTAAAAGGGTGTTTTAGAGAGAAAATGAAATCATACTGTTTCTCCTGTTGGTTGAGATCAAACGCCCACCAAAAGCCCTTGGGTCAGTTTCTTAGTAGATGAAAAATAGTTTTTCATTTTCCAGCTCTAAACATTTAACTACCTACCTTTGACAAATAATGTGGTGTGTGTGCACCTCAGTGACTTATCAAAGCCATAAGCTGGCATTTTAAATTTATTTCCAACCACAGTGGAAACCACAGAGAAAGAAAGATGAATTTACACCCTTAATAAACACAAGTGCAGAAGTGTTTGACTGTCCCATAGCACAATGAGATTTTGCAGGCTCTAGATCTGATAATTTACAGACACCTGGGATGGAGTTAATTTCAAGACCACGATATTTTGCTATTTGCAAAATTGCCAGTATAAAATGTTTACTGGTTAATTGTTTGAACAAACTTGAGACGTAGTTATCCTGAGGACATTCTTGTAAACGATCTGAGAGCTACCAGTGGTACCGAGCCCATGGGAGGAAAACACCGCGGGTAATAGCACCCGAAAAGCCCAGCGTACAAGACAGGGCGCACCTCCCCGCCCAGGGGGACCCAATTAAGTCAGCCTCTGATCCACTGCCAGCCCCCCTCCTGGAGCCATTCTCTGGGCTCAGCTAATCACAGCGTTTGTGAATTCTGAATCCAGTTCACAATTAACTGTTAATTGACTGGTAGTTTATTACCTGCCAGCCCCAAACTTAATAGTGAGATGCCACACCATTGGACACAAACTGTTTCTAACATTGTTTTAACGGCTTAGACATACCCTGTGGAAGAGCCTGCTTGATTCCTGAACTGTTCTCTAGGGTACAGCTTAAAGGGTGTGTGTGAGAGACAAGATAGGGGAGAGGAGCACAAACGGCCCAGAGGAAAATCCATCCATCCGTGCGACAGACGTGACATCTCAGAAGTGGCTGGAATTTCAGAGCCCACTTCCTTCGGCAGGCCCTCCGAGCTCTTACTCTGTACGTGTTTTTAAGGCGATGCTTTTCAGCTCTGGCCGCACATTAGAATTCGCAGGGGACCTTTTAGAACTTCGCATGTCCTGCCTGCCCCCAGACCAAAGGAATAAGGGCGTCAGTGGGTAGGACCAGACGTCAGGATTCTGTCGGCCTCTGGTGTGCTGGGGCTGGTGCAGGGCGTCTTGCAGCCAGGGCCGAGAACCACTGCTTTTCAAAGGCCCTTGGTTGTGATTCCTCTCCCCAAGCTGCAGATGCTTGGCTGCTTGCTCACCCTGCGCTAGGATGAAGCTTTAATGGGTGACCTCATTTAATCCTCTCAACCACCGAATAACAGCCGTGTCCCTGTTTCTGCCCCGAGTGAGGGTGAAGCCTTAACAAGCTCGGCCACCTGTCCGCACTGCACACCTGCACGGTGCTAACAGGTGTTGACAGCTGGCAGCCTCTGCACTCCTGTTGTTGATCTTGGTGGTATATACAGTGCATGCCTTCTCCTTAGCAACCAGCACTCTTTCTTCTGCTTTGTACATTCTCAGCACTAGAAAAGGTCCACTGGGCTTGAAAATTTCTAGATAGTTCTTTATGGACTGCCCAGAGGTTTCTAATTTGACTATTTCCTTGGGTCACATTCTTCATTTTATTTACTGAACAAATATTATTGAGTGCCTACTGTGTGCCTGGAATGGAGCAGTGGCATCAGATATTAAAATCCCTTTCTTCTTGGAGCTTAGATACTAGTTGGGAGTGACAGATAATAAAAAGTAATTTCACACACAGCGGTTGGTGCCTCGAGGAAAATAAATGAGGGTGATGAGACTTGCCTGTCAGGGCAGGCTGCTGCTGTAGCTCAGGAGGCACACAGGGACCTACTGCAAAGGAGGCAGCCACGTGGACAGCTGTGGAAGGAGGACTTCAGGGAGACTAGCTGGTGCAAAGGTCCTGGGGTAGAGCTGCGCTTAGTGTTGTAGGGACAGGTGTGTGCAATGAAGAGCAGTAGAGACAGAGGTGAGCTGGGAAATGTGGGCAGAGGCCAGACTACATAGGCATCGTCTTCTTTCCATCTCCTTAGAAATGTCAATGTAAAACCTAACCTCTTCAAATAACATTTACGAGACCTGACAAGAATGCTTTCACAGCATTTATCTGACTTAATTCATGAGACACAGGAATTATCATCAATTTGATTTTATTAAAAAAATTTTTTAAATTTATCTTTATTGAAAGTATTACAGATGTCCCCTTTTCCCTCCCATTGATCCCCTCTCCACAGCACGCCTCCCCGCAGGCCTTCACTGCACTGTGGTCTCTGTTCATAGGTTAGGCATATGTGCATATAAATTCTTAGGTTAATCTCTCCCCACCCACCCCTGCCTTCCCTCTGAGATTCGTCAGTCTGTTCCATGCTTCTGTGTCTCTGAATCTATTTTGTTCATCGGTTTATTTTGTTCATTACATTCCACATATGAGTTAGATCATGTGACACTTGCCTTTCTCTCTGGCTTATTTCACTTAGCATAATACTCGCCAGGTCCCACCATGCTCCAGGTCTCAAAGGGTAAGGGATCCTTTTTTTTTAGAGCTGCATAGTGTTCTGTGGTATAAATGTCCCAGAAGACCCTTCATATGATTTCAATCTTCTTGAACTTGTAGAGACTTGTTTTGTGTCCTAACATGTGGTCTATCTTTGAGAATGTTCCATGTGCACTTGAGGAGAATGCATATTCTGCAGCTTTGGGGTGAAATGTTCTCTAAATGTCAATTAAATCCATCTGATCTAGTGTGTCATTTAGAGTCACTGTTTCCTTGTTGATATTTTATCTGGAAGATCTGTCCAATAAAGTCAGTGGAATGTTAAAGTCCCCTACTATGACTATATTGCTTTGAATCTCTCCTTTAAAGTCCTCCAGATTTTTTTCAGCCTGAATGAGTCTTTTGCTCTAAGGTGGGTCTCTTGTAGACAGCATATATTTGGGTCATTTTCTTACCCAGTCGGCTACCCTATGTCCCTTGATTGGAGTGTTTAACCCATTTATATTTAAGGTTATTATTGATAGGTACTTATCTATTGCCATTTTATTTCTTTATGCCTATGTTTCTCTCTATTTCAACTTCTAATTACAGCAGACCTTTTAACATTTCCTGCAATGCTGGTTTGGTGGTGATAAACACCTTTAGCTTTTTTTTTTTTTTTTTGTCTGAGAAGCTCTTTATTTCACCATCTGTTTTGAATGATAGTCTTACTGGATAGAGTAGTCTTGGTTTCAGATCCTTGTTTTGCATTACCTTGAATACTC